GTTTTGACTTTTGAGCGATACGATATTGATGAATATATGTTATGCTTACAAATCTTATATACGTACACATAACAAAGTCTAAATAAAACTATAAATAAAACGAGACCATCACAGTAAAATCGTTGATTGAATGAAAGTTTCACGGTGAAAGAGTGCAGTAAGTAATAAACATTTTCACCCATTTGACCTATTTCCCCGTTGACTTTTATAGTCAACGTGGCGGCTCTCGTTTTAAAAACCAAAGTAAAACAAACTCCCCTACACATTGGGGACTAAAATTCTTTTACTTGGTCTGTTCACTAATCCTAACAAACCCACAACAAACTTATTTATTTATTTATTTATTTATTTTTTTCTAACTCTCTTTAATTACCTTATTCGTCCTCCTTTCAAATTTTAATCATCTTCATTATCCTCTTATCAAAAAACTCATCAACGTGTTATATACACACGTGCATATTTAAAATCATCAAATAAAACCCACCCACAGTCAATGCATTATAAAACAAACTGATCAAGCATGACGGTCAAGGGCGGCTCGACCCCTGCGTGCGCCGTCTGCAAGTACCAGAGACGACGGTGCAGCCCCAATTGCCCGCTGGCCCCTTACTTCCCGGCCAACCAGCCGAAGATGTTCCAGAACGTTCACCGTCTCTTCGGGGTGTCCAACATAACCAAAATACTCGAGAGCCTCGACGACCCGATACACAAGGACGACGCCATGAAATCCATCATTTTCGAGGCCGAGATGCGGCACAATTTCCCCGTCCAGGGCTGCTGCGTCATATTGTCGCAGCTGCGTTTTCAGTTACAGTGCGCTCTCGAGGAGCTCCATCATCTGAATTCGAAGATAGCCGATTGTAAGGAACAGTTGAGTAGTAATAGTAATAATAATAGCAACTATCATCATCAGTCGATGATGAGTTTCGATTGTGGACCTTCGGATATGTGCCGGAGCTTCCAAATTCAACCGATGGAGAATTACGAAATTGGCCCTAGCGGGTTTGTTCCTGATGAAATATATGATTGTAACGGCACGAGCACAGTTCAGTCGATACAAGCACAAATGGATGCTTTTGGGATCCAACAAGATCAGAAAAACAATGTTTATTATCCAGATTTTGAAGGAATGGTTGATCGAGATTGTTGGACGAAGACCCAATTCGAATCAAGGTAATATATATGATTTCATTTATAGGCTAAATTCCTTTTTTATTTTAATGAGTGAATCAATGTAATTTTTGTTGAGTACTTGTAGTTTGTTATTATTAATTAATGTTGATGATCATTTTAAAGATCACAGTTCTTGTTATTAGTTGCAGTTATATTTTTCTGACTTCATTTGTTGAGTATAAAAAAACAATAATAAATCAATGTCTTTAATTTTGCCAGGGCGAATTGCATTGTTGGCATGTCATCAGAATCATCTAAAAGAGAAACAAAAGCAGCACAGAACATATGTGAGAGCGAGTTAAAGACAGCTGCGGCAGGGCTCACTCTTACTATGAACCGGACTTCGAATTCATGAAATTGGCTCTTCGACGTCCCTTGTGTTGTTCCTTAATTTTGTTTACGAGCTTTCAGTCTTTTCGTTCATAGTTCCGGAGCTACTGTTGTTTTTGACCCGCTTCGAAGTTGGTTATGTATTTTGTACATATATATCTATTTATAAATGAATAATCTGCCTATCCTCTTCATCAAAACTTATTAGACATATGTTCTAAGGGTTAGAGAAATACATTAAAGATGTTGTGTTAACATGTATACAATACAAAAATATTTGTACATAAAAACAATATAAAAATATTTTGTATAAAGAACATAACAACATGTATGTTTAAAATATTAAATCACCTAAAATACTCTATTGTTTTTGAAAAAATAAAAAATCATTAAATTAAATTATTATATAATATGTAAAAATATCTAACATACTCTATATTATTTTTGAAAAACAAATATAAAACATGTATGTTTAAAAATTAAAGCACCTAAAATATTATATAACATATAAAAGTTCTAAACTACTCTATAATATTTTTGAAAGATGTGAAGTTACCTATATTTTTTCTAAACTATGCTGTAAGGAAAACATGTTTGAGAACTCTTAAATTTAACATGTATATATAGATAGAGATCATTAATTAAAAAATTTGTATGCAGATCATTAATTAAAAAATTTGTCTAAAACAACTTGTTTAAAAAGTATCTAAATAATTATAGATGCCTAACATACAAGTATCGAAAATATTGTATGGATCTCTAAACAAAAAATTATTTAAGATATCATATGCCTTTAGAAAAGAAAATATTAGATGCGTGAACAATAAAAACATATCATATAAAAATCAGTTCTTCCCCTTCCTCTTTTATATGTAATTTAGAAGCGACGTTTAGTCGTAAATTTGATAAAGAAGCCAGTTTTTTTAAATTTTATTTCTAATAGAATTAACATAAGAATAACATTCTTACTAAAGCAATATAGGGCCATCCATCAACGGAGAAAGACAACTGCGTTACACATTCAGGCACTTCTTTTCTTAGAAAATACTCCCTCCTTTTTTAAATAAATGTCTAGATACATAGCAAAATGGATGAATCAAAAAAGTCAAAACGACATTTATTTAAAAAAGGAGGTACATTATGAAATGAATAATTTTGTAACGCTGCCAAAATACTGTACAAATGTGTAAAACTTTTTGTTAAACTTGTAAAATAGTGTAAAAGTCTTTGTTAAACTTGTAAAATATTATATGCAGAAACATTAGTAATTAGAAATCATAATAGAGGTAAAAATGTACAAATTGTTTTGTTAAACATGTAAGATTAATGACAAAGTAGTATAAAAATGTGTAATTTTTATGTTAAACATGATTCTAAAATATTATATGCCTGAAAACATTAGTAATTAAATAAGCAACAATGTGTAAAATGTTTTGTTAATCATATATCTAAAATATTACAAGACTAAAAAGATATTAGTCATTAGACTTTTTTTTCCGGAAAGATAAAGATAATTATATATCAAAACGCACAAATGTGCAAAGATATAGGCCCTAGCTAAATAATACAACTAACAACTGAATAAACTGGGAGCACAGGTCAGATAGATGACTGCCTATAACTGAAACTAGCACCGCTAGAAACCAAAGACAAGACTCACAACACAGCAAGCACGATAAACTCTGCAAAAATTACAAAGCTCCCAACTGGAGAACAGAGACGATCCCAAAGGGATAAAAACCGCTCACATACAGCTCACAAAGGCCAGTAGCCCAAACAAAAAACGCAAGTCCTAAGCAACACAAGCACAACCAACACAAAAACAAATTAAAGCAAAGAACCTAATGAACTAACAAACAAAGCCCTTTCGCATCAGAAAGGTCGAGGTAAACCAGTAGATGAACAATCGATTTGAAGGAGAGATCTAAAAGCCCAGGAATCGCAACTGAAACTACCGAACCGCCTAGATGAAGCCGAAACCAAGCCCAAAACCAAACTCGAAAAAAGATCCGTCCTCAGCTGGAGGAAACCAACATCTCTCTACCGGCTAGCACCATCAGCCGAGTCCAGCACCACCCCACCCGCCTAACACCATGAGCCGAGTACAGCCACGTCAACTCCCCCGAACCCAACAAAAGAGAACAAGGGTGAGAAAAGGAAGTCAGCTCCTCCTCTCAGACCACCCCGACGCGAGCGCCACAAGCTGCCTGAATCTCGTCCCACTCCCTAACCCACATCACCCAACGTCGCGGTAACTCCGGGAAGCTGGCTACATAATCGTTGAATTCTAGTGCTTTGTAGTTTATATGTTAATTTTTGACTATCCATCTGAATTCTATCGGCACATATTAGGAATTTTTAAAATATAAAATAGTTGACAAACTTAAATTATACATATACTAAAATTTAATAACTTTATATTTATGATCATATTTTTGTAGGAAAAATTGGTTTTGTACCGATTTTACTGTTCCATTTTTTGTTAGTGGAATACTTAGGAAGTTCTCAAAACCATTTTAAGGTGAATGAGAAATTAATTCTAAGTTGTATATGTGGAAAATGTAAAGTTGAATCAATGAGTTTAACTCAAATTATTTGATTTGTAAAATTTTCTGTTTTAACAAATGTTTGTACAAACTAAACGAGCCATAATTATATATCATGTATGCTAGAATTGTAGAAGAGTCATTGGGGACAATTAGGAAAAACAGAACTCGATTCTGAGTCCGTATGAGCTCGTACGAGCCCGCACCGCATGGACGCGCAACTGACTGCAGAAATCAAAGGGTCGCAACCCTTGATGACCATAAGGTATCATTTGGCCGCTAGATGCACCTGTTCCCGTTAGGGCACATCCCAAAAAGGTGTCTTTTGACACTTAAGCCTCTTGAGGTGTTTTCCTACATCTATAAATACCCACATAGATGAATTCATAACTTGAAAATTAGAGAGTTCTTGCATTACTTTTCAATGATCATATAGCATTTTGTGTTCTTTGATATTTTCATTGAGTCTTGGGAGTTCCAAACAATAGTAGTGTTTGCTGAAAGCTTATATATTTAAAGTACCGCTATATACAATTTGAAAGTCATTGTATCTTAGAGGCGTTTGCCGTTAACCGTGGGTATTTTACGGGGCAATTTCGTCTTAAGGAGAACGTAATTATTACGTGCCTCGACTTTGATTTTTGTTTTGTTTTCTTCATTCTCCTTTAGCCATCTTTTTTATATTCACAAACCACACAAAGTTTACAATCTTAAGACGACATTTTTAGGAGTTCATAAGATGGCAACTGAACGAAACCAAACTTCTTCATCAAGTGTTCAACTGACCGCTACATCGGCTACTAATCCTTTCACCCCAAAAGCGAGACCAACGTTCAAAAACTTGTAGTCATGGATGCTTGGCAACGTAGTGATTTCTTATGTAGAAATCTAATACTTAACAGACTAGACAACACACTATATATGTGTATAGTTCAATTAAGACATACAAGGAGTTATGAAATTCCTTGGAAGTGAAAGTTCAACACGGAAGATGTCGATCGGGATTAACTCGTTGGAAAATTTCTAAAGTACTTAATGGTTGGCACCAACTCGGTGGTTAGCCAAGTACAAGAAATTCAAATCATCTTTCATGATATGTTGGTCGAGTGATTGATTGTGAACGAAGCTTTTCAAGTGGTGGCTATCGTTGAAAAGTTGTCTCCTTTGTGGAACGACTTCAAGAATTATCTCATGCATAAACGCAAATAGATGAAACTCGAGGATTTGATAGTTTATCTTGACAGAAAAAGATAATTAAAACTCCGAAGTATTAGCCAAATGGAGTGAGCTAGAGGCTAAGACAAACTTGGTCGAACCGAGCTCGTGTAAGAAGCGTAAAAATGTTTTTCATGGAAAACTAATATGGAGAGCCAAAAAATTCAAAGGATGTTGTTACGTTGATGATAAACCCAGATACCTTGCCGCAGTTTACTAAATTTTGAAGAGGGGTAAAGGATAGTGCAAAATGTTGAGGACATGATAATACTTGTCAGAGCTCGATCTTTCTGTTGTGGTTTGAGTACATACTTGATTAAAATTTCACATTTATAGCGGATAATAACAAGAGCCACTTGACTCATTGGCGCTTATAAATGTTGTCCTACAACCCTAACTACAGAAGAAAGTATTTTTGTAATTCTTCGACTTCAAGTGTTGGAGGAACCGACAAGGTAGTGTGCTAAGAATTAATATTGGATATCATGGATGTTCTTCATGCCCAAGACATCCATAAGAATCTAGTTTTCGGATCATTAATTGAGTAAGACCGAATTTAGATTAGTTTTTTTATCATCAACAAATATGTTATGTCGAAATATGATGTATTCTTAGCATAAGTAGACCTTAATAAAGGACATCTTACAATTATTTAAAATTGTAATTTATTGGTTGACAAAAAATAAGTAATAATTAAATAAGTTGGTCTTATTATTGAGTGTTCTTATTCTGGAATGAAAAGCACCACACAAAGGTAGATACGAAACTCCGTTTGAGTTATAAAAAGATAAAAAAACATTCGTACCTATACCTTAAAATGTGGGGGTGTTCGAGCCAAGGTAGAAGTACCTAAATAATGACATGAAAAGTTAGTTGAAATAAATTTGTCGAATGGTTTCAAATTTATTGAATGACAAAATGAGTCTATGTAGACAATATAATGATCTTGGAATATAATCATGATGTGTTCATGAATATCAAGAAGATAAACTTTGACATTTAAAGTTTGTGAAATTTCAATGTAATTCTGTAGATAAGTAAGTTCCTAGTAGATCGGAAGTAATTGTTTGGTACCGTCTCATCATATCCATTGTATGTTGAAGAGGTTTGATGTGTTCGGTAAAACCTCAAGCTAAAGTGTATGTAAAATTGACTCTACACTTAGCTAAGAATTCGAGAATAATTAGTTTCTCAGAACAAAAGTAAGCTGAATAATTAGAGACTTGAGGTACTTGTCAGATAGTACTCGCCTCAATATTGCATT